AGTGAGTGAGTAGACTAGCAGGACACAGCTTCCAGAAGAAAGTGCTCCTTTTAGTTTGAAGGCTCGCTTCGTCGGGCTTTCCATCTTAGGGCAATCTTCGGGTTTCAAGGGCTGGGTACAACCTGGGATTGTTTCGCTTGGACCACAAAGCCCCGTGATCGGTCGGGTCGACCTGCCAGCACGGGAGACCCACAGCCCCTAAAGCTGCAAGCAGTGCGAACATGCACAGACAAAACAGCAAGAAAGAGGGACTTCAGGCGAAGGCATAAGGTCACGGACAGAGATCCACCACGATGCACCGCATCACTGCTGCTTGAACTACCCTGACGGCGCATGGCAAACAACTCATTTTATCCATGATGTCGGGGCTGCATTTGGCGGAGGGACCGGATGCGAACACTGCGACCTCATCTTCAGATATTTTCACTCTACTCGGTTGACGCGAGGGTCTGGTGATCCGGGCAGTCCGGGCAAGGTCTAGGCACTCTGCTCGCAGCTGGTCCCGGGCAGTTCGTTATTCAGAACCATCGGCAGTCCCCACAAAAACTCAACCCCCGACAAATCAGCTAAGGTCGCTCTCTGTTCTCGCCGTGCATCTTAAGGGACAAGAGCTCTCACTCAAATCATCTTCAAGAAAGCATTGGGGAAAACAGCCGAAGCCTGGTTACGAACGGGCATGAAGTTAAACAGGCGCTCTGTTGGCCTGAATCTATGCTGTGCCAAAGGCACCAGAAGCCGGGTGTGGCATGCCCACTGGTGAGGCTCGCTGGAAACCCGGAAGCATGCAGTGTCCACATTCATCGTCATGCTTGGGACTCTGTCTGAACACCAGAGATCTTCAAAAGCCCAAGAAGTCAAATGCCAGCAGTCATTGCTGCTGGTTTCAGGTAGCCCATCTCCTCAGTAGCTTGCATTTTGTTGCTTTCTCTGCACAAACATGAAAAGTCTAAAAAGGTCTGTCAGCTTTCTTTCTACTAAACCAACTTCCCCCTATGCCCACCACGAAACCATTGAGCTGTTAAACCAATCCTCTTCCAACCTCTGGACCATTAAACCAATCCTTTTCGGGTTGTGGGAATGATCGGCGTATGGCTCAATGGCTCGCCTAGCCTACGTTTTCAAAATAAGACAAATTGCTTGCTTTGTTGACTGGTTCGACTGGCGTCAGCAAGGGCAAAAAACTGGCTCAATGATTCAATGGTTTAAACGGCTTTTCTGGTAGGCCAAAATGAATGGGATAAAAGGCTTAATGACTGAATGGTTTGTTGTCTACTCCTCTTCAACTTTCTGATAAAGAACGATTGGTTTGTGTGCTCTGGCATCGTGGTTGGTGGATGTACTTCGACTGCAGCAGTTCTACATGTTTTATATTCACAGCGCAATGAGTCAGTACTGAAAGCTATCATTGGTATATACTGTGGCATGATGCTTGCCGCCATACTTAGCAAAAGGTTCTAACATTGGTGGGTGGTTGCAACCATATATGGGCTTGGTTGGGCATATGACGTACATCTATTGTCGGAAGTGGTATGCGTTGGTTTGCGATCAAGGTACACATGGTATGCAGTACGCACGCACACACGAATGCATAGAACGTAAGTAATGACTGAAAATTCGTACAAGAATGCACATTGATCGCCAGCATCAGCAGTTGCTGACTCAGCATAGCAGCGGTGCAACATGAAAGTAGGACATGAAAACTGCTAGAACGCACCGACCGTGCTCGCGTGCATGCAGCGCGCCATTTCGGAAGTTATAAAAGCGTGGGTTGTGTGGGACGAGAGACCTATTCGCTAGTTTCCAAACCAGTAAGGTTCACGTGTACACAGCATTTTCTCCATGGCGGGCCAACCAAGGATGCTCTGTTCTCAGAACGGATTACACCCATGGATGCTCTGTTCTTAGAACGGATTAAAGTGGACATCATCATCCGTTCTCACTCAGAACGGATAAAATCATGGACGTCAGTATGGTTGGGCCATGGATGATCTGTACCATGGACGTCATCGTGGTCGGGCCATGGATGCTCTCTTCTCAAAACGGAATAGACAATGGACGTCATAGTTGGGCCAT